ATTTATTTCAGTTAGCTATGAAATGTGAGGTTAGGGTATATTATAGGGTTGGGGTGTTTTACTTGCCCCTTCATTTTGAACGGGTTATACGCTAGTGTTTGTATATATTAAAAGTGGTACCATTTTTTTTAAGAACTCCATTTTTAGTACCATACTTACAAATTACAACAATAGAGATATAATTAAACCTTCACGTACTTTTCCTAGTGTAAGTCGTATTCTTGTTGTGAGGAGAGTACGTTTATTTAAAATTGTGTTATATTATAAAGAAATAGTTGTTGTGCATACCAGTTATTTTTTTATTTTCTGAATCTTAAATACCCAAAGTGTGAAATTTTTTTATGGATTTTTATTTGTGGTGCCATGCAATAGATAGTGCTATATTGTATTTATCAATTCGGTCACATACACAGACAGATACATATATATATACATCTTAAGTCCATTCTAAGTGTCTTTATCCCTTCTTAGATGTACGAATTAATGGTGACGATTATGTCAATAGTTTAATGTTTCCTCGTAACAATGCTGCCATTATGAAACAAAAACAAGACATAAATCAAATATACATTTAGGAGAGTTAATAGCAGTGAACTCGATCTACAAGTTTCAGTTGTTAGCATGCATCGTGATCAAACAAAGACCACTCTTCGTAGCTAGGCCTAGAAATAATTTGGTTAACAGTTTCTCAGCGTTATAAGGTGGCACACTAAAACACCGGTATTTTAATGAGATAGTTGGTCAAGAAGCTACACAGGAAATCACCACAACTTTATTATTAAAGACCCTATTAACTTTAGATTTATAACCTCAAGCGTTCTTCGTCCACTGTCAATTAAACATAAAACATCTTGTTCGTTCCTGCCAAAGGGTCATTTTTATAGCCAGACTCGTTCTGGAAGACGTTAATATCCAGAAAGATGCTGCAGAGTGTTAACGATGATAAAAAATTTTGGATAGGCATATGGTGGGTTGGTGGTGGATAGAACTTACGATGACCTATAGTGTTCTTAACAATGTACACTACTGCTGTAATAAATGCGATATTAAAAACTGCCCGTATATAAAAATTCCTGGGTTTTTATTTTTACTTTTTGCATACATATTAAAATGTGGTAATATAGGAAATATCTAGCCCTATAACTTAATGTAAAAGGTTTCAGACGTTTCAAATTACGCAGAAATATAAACTCAAACAAGATAGAAAAACAAAACAAAAATCAACCAATATAAAACTGTAGGATCCATAAAATTTCAAAAATGCTAAAAAATATCCTTAGGATATTAACTGTCTCTCATCTTTCTAAGAAATGGATGTCTGATTTTCCCTGACAACCAGCCTTCTTATTAAAGAACAAAGATAATAAGAATTGGATGTTTATTTCTCCCTGTGGATGTGATCACAATGGACTTTTTAACACCCTTTATTGAGGCAAGTCCATCTGTCAAACCCGAAGAGTGATGGCACTCATAAATAGGTTTTGGTACATAGAAGGACAATAGTGATAGAAGTAGTAGTCTTCCTCCAGCTCAGAAGGTCAAGAACAAGGTTTCAAATCTCAATCATACAATGAAAAAGGGTTGCATAATTTGATTTGAGAGTCAAAAAAAAAAAGGTAATTTGTGTGTGTGACCATTGCTGGTGTGGTGGTGCAGCCAGTTCAAAACCTCTGAATTCTCATAACTTCCAATAGAAAAATGTAACCATCACATGGTTGGATACAGTAGATTCTGGACTTTTCAGCAGTGTATGCAATACCTCCAAGAAACAATTACCAGAATTTCTTGTTACTTGCCTACTACCCAAAAACACTACTTAACCTTTGGTTGAGAAAGATACCCTGTGTTAATGTCTATTATTTTATTATAAGTAGTATTCTACACAGTACTAATTTTCATTTTTGGTACCCAATGTGTAGCTTTGTGCTTAAAAACAAACCTAAAATACTGCAGTGTATAGTTTTTTTTTAGCACAAATCTCATAATTGGCTGTCTGTGCTCCTCTGTCTACAATAGGAAACCAAACCCTGGATTTATCATTGTAAGTGCATAGCTTTACTGCAGACCCACCAAGGGATACAGTCTACTTAACACAAAATGTGATTATTATATGTAATAACAAGTTATCGCATAATACAGATAACCAAAGACAAAGTTGAGAAAAATACTACAAGCTGACTCAGTAAGTTTTTATAGTAGTTTAGATTCAAAAGTAAAAACTTAAAACAGTTTTACTTTTTTTTTTTATAAAACATCTGCTGCAATGATTGTCAAATGATACTTTTTTATTTTTTAAAAGGAAAGTAATATTCTACAGAAATCTGACTTGTTGAAAAAAAAAATTGTGGGTAATGACCAGTTGATAAAAAGGGGAATTAGGAGCTTTTTTGACATTTTAACTTTTGGTTTGTTGTTTCTATATGAATAATGCATAAACTAATATAATTTTTTTTCTGTATTTTGTAATATTTCTCCACATTATGAACATCTCAGATGCAACCAAAAAGAAGTCTTGTTGTTTTAACATGCTAAGTGTATGTACGTTTATATGATAATAATTACTAGCGTGATAATAAAATGTCAAACTTGCTTGTATTTTAATAATTTCTTTACATCTCCAACACTTTTGCAGTCTACTCAAAGGATTGTACAGTAGAGTTGTGAAGAAAAACATTTTAATTAACAAGTCTAGCTTACAATATTTGGAAATTCCATTCAAAAGTTCACACAATGTGAATAACTAATTCTGGAATGGCTGGAGTGGTTTTTAAACTGCCCACTGGCTCACCTAATTTACAGGGAAGCTTGATACTTCTAAACACAGTCACAAATACTTGACCATTTCAACTGGACAGTATCCAGAAAAATTATTGCTCACAACATTTATATAGCCACACCAAAAGTGACAATACATTTTTCAAAATAATAAGATACCTGGTTCATATATAATGCTAGTAAACAGAGCAGACAAATATGCAAGATAAAATGGTTGAGAAATAGGTATAGTGAAAATGACCTGAAAAGTAAATCCAACGTTCAAACATTTTTGATTGTAATTTACGGTGTGACTAATGAAACTAGAACTTTATTGAAGTATGTCATGATTGTTACATAAACTTCAAATATTCAGTTTTACACTTTTACAACACTTAAAACATATAAATATTCTCTCCCCCACTTTGTCCACTTAATTGTAACACAAATTATGAAGAACAATAACATTTTATACGAACTGTACAACTGATCCACAAACATCATCAAGAACATTGTAATAAATGTATGTACTCCAATCATAGCCTAGATACCTTTAACATGGATGGGAGCAAAAAATCCTGCTAGTACTGAACATTAACAAACAAATCTCTCCATCCAGCTTTACCAACAGCTACACAGTCATTACTGGTTGTATGATTGTGGAATATGTAACTGTGCAGGAAAGCAAGTGTGTTAAAAATGTTTAACTTTTCCATACTAGTTCCATTCCAATTCAAAACCACCAGTATGGATTACATAGTCAACAAGGAACTCTACTATGTAGGTATTCCCTTGTAGTAACTCCTGCATCTACCTGTCTGAAGATTCTCACTGAAACAATGGCTTAAAAAATATTTGACTTCTTTACTAACAAGGAAAATAACTTGTTAAATTCAAATGGTACAACTTACAATCACATAATCTATTTGCAAAAAACTTTAGGGTTGTTGCTTTTTAATTATCATGTTGGGGGATTTTCACTAGCAATTAAACACCAAAATACTCAAATCTCCATAACAAGAAGTCTTTCTATACTTCACAGTAATGAGGTGTAGAAACAGAATGGGAAACATCGACGGAAAACAGGGAATGAGATTTATCTTCCTGATTATTTGAGGTAATATATTTCTTATTTTCAAGTCAAAATCACTCTAACTAATAATATATCAACATATTTACAACACAAAAAGCCTCTAATGCTAAAAAACAAGAAATATAAATTAAATGTAACGTAAGTCAACACTTGGCCAACTTGATGTTATTTTTTGCACCAACATAAAATCCTACAAAATAGTTCAAAGATATTGCAAAAATAATCTTTGAACAAAATGGAATGTCCATTTCCCATAGCAGCAACACGTGCATGGTACATTAAAAATAATGGTAAAGAACACTCATTCTATTAATAAAAAAATATTACAAGTAAATGCAAAAGTTTGGCAATTATTTCAGAAGTTAAGCCAAAGAAAGTTGTTTTATTAATTACCTACAAGGAAATGCTGTTGAACTGGTTAAATCAAAACCAGAAATAAGTTAGCTTTATAAAGAAGTACTAAAAATGACTTTACTATTAGAGCAACAAAGGAAAGAAATAATTTTGGCACTTGATCTACTAACAAATAACTCATTAAAAAAAATTATATATACAAGTGCATCTGTATTTGTACATTAAATCTTCAGTGTCTGTTATTCTATTAGGAAGTTTAAGATTGACAGGAACCTTTATATAATTCTCTAATGCCATATAATGAAAACAGACTATAGGGAAATCTTTTTTTTTTTCGTGTTCACATCAAGTATTATTGTTATATTTGGATATTTTAAGTAATGATACATTATATAGATATTAAATTAATGGTTGAAATTTTGAATTTGTGATATAGGTTTGTGCAGATAAAAATACTCTTACTGGGGGAGTGTAAACTTTTTTGATTTCAACAACAATACATTTTGGTGAAAGTGTGTATGTTAGAAGGCAATAGTTTTGCATATTCAGAATTGAATATCTAAAAAACATTAATTTCAAAATTTTTGTTTTTCTCATTAAAATAAATTTACTCCACAATTAAAATTTCATCTTTTTGAAAACAATTGTTCTAAAAATACTGAATAAGCATCCTTGGAAAATATTTTTTAAGACATTCACTATATTCATTCATAGCTGTTCATTTGTTCACCATATTACTACATGACTATTTTGAATTTCTATGCCAAACAACTGTTGCCTTTAGTAAATAATGTTTTAATATTTTTACGATGTACACTACATTAAAATTTATGAAATGCTGTTTCATGTAAAGAACAGCATATTTCTACTGGAATAATTCTTGGTAGACTTGGAAAATATTAAAAAAAAAAAGAATGAAACCTTTCAAAATTCTACAGTTTTCATATGGTTGGGATATGGGTGGATTAAACTCTGGATCAGATAGATATATTTGACAATGTTATTTGTTCCTATGGTTAAATATAATTTTCTCAAAATTTTAAAAAGGAACAGCTTGTGTCTAATCAGCATATATGTAAATAGACAAATGATTATAAAAAACCCAAAAAAACTTGATTACTTTCTGAAAACAAGTTCTAATTCCAGTTCAGTGCCTATGATACCTTATTGATATATCTCATGTCAAACAAGCAAAACTGAACAAAAGATTATTCTTTTTAAATGAAATATATTCACACACAAAAAAGCAGGTTGTGGAAAGTGTAACTAGTACATTCAAACAAAGAAGCTTAAGATGACATCTCTACTAGGAATGTAAAGTTTTAAGGAAACACACCTTAAAAATGTTTGAAACAAAGTCTAAGTCACATTGGCTCCATACCCACACTAAAACAGAGCACTCCAGATGTTGAGCATAGGGAGTAGCTGATAAACACTCTGAATAATCTTGAAAAGGAAAAACAACAACACATATTACAACTGGAAAACAACATAATACCACTAGGAAAGCAGAATATGTTTATAACATACAAGTGACATACATTTCTATATTAAGAAACAAAAATATCTTCTATGTCTCTTCTTATTAAGAACAAATAAAATTAATTCAGAGAAAAACTAACCAATAGCAATCCAGATATAGAAAACAAGTGACAATGACCTAATATTAATGTAATATTTGGGCTTCTTCATCTTAACCACATCAATGAAACACACCTTGAAAAACATTTTCAAACAGACAAAAAAAACACCAAATGTGTAAGACAACTTTCTTATACTCTCACTACTGGCAGATAAGGGAGGGGTAAGATCCTTGAATTGCTACATGTAAGTGTCTGAATACAAGTATGGAAATTTTTTTTTCATCTGTCAATTTCTGTTGGCTGAAGTTCATAAGTCGACCTTTGTTTTCAATTCATATGCTTACCTTCTAGTATGCTATGAGCTATAAAATGTGCACTTTACAACTGGATTACACATCCATTGATTCAAATATACTTGTGGCCTTCACAGGATGAAAAATCATTCAAATTCAAATTGCACCCATGGTTATTGCATCATCAGGTGCACTATTCCCATGGCTCACTTTGTTAAGCAACGAATTTTATGAGTCTAAATAAATATCTTGGGTTCCAGGAAAAACACAAGCTCAAGGATGGATGCCTTACAAGACTGCCAATAAAGGGGCTTCGGGCACATGAGGAACATATTTTTTGAATTCTGAAGTCATGTCTACACACTTGTTTTTATATACATTACATAGAGACTCAAATGATGCAACCAATCTTTGTTTTTTTGTTTCTTCATCCACTTTTGGTGCCCCTACTCCAGTTAGGTGGCCCCTTCCAAGACTGAACCCTAGATCTGCCATTGACTCTTAACAACATCTTTTGAATAAACTATAAATACAAAGACTAACTTTTAAATCTTATGCTAATTTACCTAGTTCTTTACATATAGTAGAATGGGACTCCATTTGAATTTTTGATGGGATTTTTCAGTCTATAAATACTAAAGAATGGCCAACAAAACAACTATCTACTATTTTAAATATTTCTTTGTTGTTATACTCTGCTGCCATTTCTTTCCATCTCAAAACAGTGTAAAGATACAAAATTAGTGCCTAACAACTTTAGACATGAACATTCATGTACTTACTGGGAACTCAAAACATAATAGTTCGAACCTTCCCTGTAACAATGTTACTTCTGAACTTGATTTGCTTTATTAGGAAATACAATTCTCTTAAATCACACTTATATTTCAATTACAGGTTTATAAATCACATATTTATAGACTGTTTCCTCTACAAACAATTATGAACATATACACTATATCGCTTTCAAGCACTTACAAAACTGACACATACACACACATTAGGCTGTCTAAGCACAAAGTTCAAACTGGGAAATAACTTATCTTTCTATACAAGCCATTTGTAATACATGGTACCTCCAATGTGACAAAAAGATCTGAACTTGTATTTCTAAACACTACCTTTAACAAAGAGTTTGATAAAATTTTATTACTTCAAGTTCCAATAAATAAGCTTATGTAAGGTTACTTATATTCAATCCTTGAGTCAAATAGTAAACATAGCTTAAAAAATGTTTCCCAGCTTTTATAGAAAATTCTACTTGTGGTTTGTATAGTAGATTTCATACATGCACACACACACACACAGTTTACTACATCTTAATAATAATAAATAATAACAACAAACAAATTGTTGAGATTTCAAAACACCATATGATCTGTTTTTCTCTGAGAGAGACACCTAAGTTAAGCCACAAAGAAATGGATATTGACATTTACCTACTAATAACAACTGTAGTACTCACAGAGAAGAAAACCATATTAGACTGATCTGTTCTGTTTCTAGACTAGCCACATGCATTTCTGCATACCATAGCTGTCAAAAGGCATTAATTAGGAATGTAACAATCTTCAAAGTCACAAAGAACAACAACAAAAATTGAAATGAAGACATAAGATTGAGGGTAGTCACCAGTTTCATGGGAAGTAAAATCACAGAGATATGGTACTTTACTTCTCCATTATATACACAGTAACATAATTTTCTATTTACCCACATATATATATATCTATAGATATACTGTATGTATACAAGAAGTACGCTTCTTTGGTGAGGCGTTACCTGCATCCTTCACCACATTATGGGCCCCACTACTGAAAACCAGTACAGTTCTACCTCAACTAGACCAGGTTCTGTTGTGGCTGCTTCTCAAATTCACTCCATGCATCATTCAGCTCCATGAATATGAGTTTAGCAAGAGATTCATTCTCTGTTCCTACTTTCTGTAGTAG